GCTCCGACAGCGGTAGTTGCTCGATGATGGAGCTTCTCAGCGAGCGTGTGCGAGGTATTGAACGACGAGGCGAAGGAAATGACGGTGGTGCAGGGCTATGAGGCGCTCGGGGGTGGAGGAACGACAACGGCCATAGAGCTCGGCCCTGTCGCCCATGGCGAGTGCGAGAGGGAGCGCGGAGACAGGCAAGGGAGAGAGCAAGGAGAGCGAGAGCGAGTGAGAGGGAGCGCCTCGGAGTGGGGAGCGTCTAGGGGCAGCTTGGCATCTCTCCATCGCGAGTAGAAGGCAAGGGCACATGGCAACCATGGTGGGGGCACGACCGGCACTTGGAGGACGCGTGGACATTACGTCTAACACCTGGCGGGCGCGGTTGTGGACACGTTCGAGCTCTTATTTTGGCATATTCCATGTGGATTCAGACATGGGCGCCTCTAGCAAAATTGTTGCCCACCTAATGATCTACAAAACTCATTAAGGGTGCCTAGCCATTAGAGCTCTCCATTAGCGGCTAATTAAGCCCCAAGTTGATAGTGTCAACGACTTAACAATGGTTAAGCTTTGTTCTGTTTGAGCTTGAATTACTTGGTCCAAACGTGGTCAAATTTGATCCACCTTCTTCCTATACCTTCTTCATGGAATTATCTTCAACTCTTATTTTTGGCTCCACTCAAGTTGCTTAACAAATTTTGGAGAACGCGGGATGCCAATCATCATTGCCACTAAAATTCTAGACTTAGTCGATTCTTGAACCCTAAAAATGGTACTAGATTCAATCTTGGGGTCCCTAATTGGCTAGGTTAGAGGCTAAACCAGGTCTTGGTACTTAAACAAAAGTTGTTCTACTTAATTTATACTACAACTTTGCTTAAAGGATCTAGGATTAGTTCAGCTTGGTTAGGAAGATACAAATCTCCAAAGATAGGTAGATGAAACTGAAATTCGGATTTCAGAGTTTCAGCAGTGTGACCTAATTCAGTGAACTTGCCATTTTGGAGAGAACCTTTGAATGACCAAATGAGCTCCAAATCTGCTGAGATGTATTTTGTTGTTTACTTCACAAAGGGTACTTCAACTCATATTAAGGAATCCAGTTGAATTACCATATGAATTTAGAAGATAAAAATGTCATAGCATGTCAACTCACTGTTGCCAATCAAGGACTTGGAAAGATTTCTGAGAGCCTAAAGGAGCACTGCATTCAAAATTGAGGCCACTGTTTGAGTCACTTAGGAGTTGAATCAGGGCTTGGTCCAAAAATAAAGTTTGTTGTACTCCACTCAAACATCAACTTTTATTAAAGGTCAAACTTCATATCTGGTCCTAAAATCATAGTTTCATTTTGGTCAAAGCAGCACCTCGTTAAACCCTGGAATTAGGATTTTCGATCAATTGAGGCATTTTCCTGATATTTGCTCAACACGAACCCTTTATGACTTTTGTTCATGAGTCAAATTGGAGCTGTTTGAGCAAGGTCGCAAGGTTTGGTCGACATCCCATGTTTCCATTCACTTAATAAAGCAATTCAATCAAGGTTATAACTTATCATTTCATGTGACTTCTTGGTTCCAAACTTCATGAAACTTTTCCAATTGTCAATGTGGGTGGAAATTTATGAGACACATGAAAGAAGCACCTTCAACATTACTCAGGTATACATTTGAAAAGGGTTCACATGTAAGCAAAGGTGTGTTGTCCAAGTTTAAGTTGGGGCTCATTTTCATAGATTTGACCTTGACACCTTCATTACCACTTATCCTGTCATGTTTGAGCACAAACCCACTGCTTAGCATGTGGCTAACACCTGGGTGTTACAGTCTTCTTCCAAGCGGACCTTCCTCGAGTCTTCCCCAGGCGTGAATGATGGAGCCACGGTTGGTCCCGAGGGTGTGAATTGTGTTGGTGAGAGCCTCTTCTCTTCAGGATGTGAAGGTTGGAAATCGAGGAGCGGCAGCGCTTGCGTCGGAGCCTTCAAGTCCTGACTTTGCATGAGGACATAATCTAGCTCGCGCTGCACTGGATCCAAGTTTCGAACCGTGTTCTCGATAGCGAATAGTTCGCATTGGTAGGCATTTTGATGGTCTCCAGAGATTGTGATGACACCGTTAGGACCTGGCATCTTCAGCTTTAGGTACGTGTAATGAGGTACGGCCTTGAATTTGATGAAACATGGTATGCCGAGCACGGCATAGAAAGTGTCCTTGAAATCCATGACCACGAAGGAGAGTATTTCATAACGATAGTTTGCTGCCTCACCAAACGTGACCTGTAGATCTATGACACCGAGGGGCATCACCTGTCTCCCTGGCACTGTCCCGGTGATCGGGCCCCTTGGCGGGCGTAGTTTATCCATACCAATCTTTAGTCTTTCAAAAGTGTCCCAATATATCAGATTAGAATCGCTTCCTCCATCCATGAAGATCTTGGTGGCACGAACAGTCTCGAGAACCACGCTGACGACCAAGGGAAACCTGCAAACATCAACCGAGTGTTTGGGTTGGTCACTTTCATCGAAAGTGATCGGGTGCTCTGACCAAGGAAACCGAGTCGTTGCCATGGGTGTCACGGCCTGAGCCTCCCGAATGACAGGTAAGTGTCCCGCATCCGACCGGATCCCAATATGGGCATGAATAGTCATTACTCGTTTAAGGGTTCGCTTCAAATGTCCTGGGTGTCGCCGACTATCCCCACAAGGGGTCCCCATGAAAGAGTCGCTGCAGATGCTATCGTATGGTACATCTTACAATCTTTGGCGAGATGAGCCAACGGGTATCCATGGTTCTGGCACGGAAGATTCATGGCGTAGCCAAGATTTACCCGATAGCTCAGTTTTTGACTTCGCTTGACACTTAGCCAGTTCGTTCCGTGATTTCTCTTTGTTATCCGGGGTGACCTAGACCTGTTAGGGTTGATCGCAGGAGTTGGGAAGAGTTCCCATGCGTGTGCCATCGTAATGCTTTTGAGCCTATCAAAGAATATAGGCAAAACAGCATCTAACGATGGTGGTGGTTGTGCATCGTCTGGGTGATTTGATTCCCACCAGACTTTGCGTGTGGTGTCAAGGAGGTACTCTTGACAGAATTGAGAGAAAGTAGACTCGGCATAGCGACTTACATGATGTGCCAACTGAAGCGGTCCTGCCTCGATCGTGTCTCCAAGCTTGATGAGGTAGGGTTGATCAGGCGATGACGATGTCGAAGCCCATGTGCGAATGTTGGGGTTGCCACGCCATGTGTCCCTCGATCGCACGAAGGTGGCGGCGCTGTGGCCGTCCTTCTCCGATCACCTCTTGATCATGCCCTTACTCGACCTGCGAAGAATAGCCATCCGAAGCACAAAAAAAATCTAATCGCAAAATGCCCCTAACTGGCGCGCCAACTATCGGATTGTTTTGCTCCAGCAATATCTAGCAATGTGATCGCGTAGACGAAATCGGATGGTAGCACACGAGACACAAAAATTTATACTGGTTTGGGGCACGGTGCGCGCTAATCCCTACTCCAGTGGTGCGGTTGCTCTTGTACTCGTATGCTCAATTACAGAGGCTATTGCTCCTAGCTACGTAGTAGATTGGAATAGTGGAAGATGGATCCCGAGCCTGAGGTCCCTACCTTCCTTTATATAGGCAGGAGAGGTAGGGTTTAGGAGAGGGCGATCAGGTTAAGAGATTGAGTTTCTAGTTTGTTACATGATATGCGCAACAAATTGATCCTAGCTATTGTTTAGATACACCCGCCTTGGCTTGCCTTGACCTCCACATTGGTTGGTCACATCAGCCCTTGCGGGCCTCCTCTTGGATGGCTGCTAGGCCGATAGCATGGTGATGGTCACATATACGGGCGGTGCAGGTACCTCTGTCCCATATATCTGACGGCCGGGATCTCTCGCTCCGTATCCACCGAATTCGGCTCCGCCGGGTCCCACTCCCGTCGTTGCTCGTCGTGGGGGAGGCGCTGCCGCCCGGCTCGTGCAGCGCGTGCGGCTGGGGCTGGTCTATTATTAGAGATATATCACATCTCTTTTTTGTCAATGATCGAAGTTTTAAGTTGGCCACAACTCGCTCTTCATATTCCCAGCCCGGTGTTTAGATGCCATTTCTACAAATTTTAATGCATTTGACAAGCTCACTTTATTGCAATATATTTGTGTACTTGATTATGTGTCTTATTATGTACTGTTATATGGGAACTTATTTGCGTAATATTACTCCAAATGTATAACAAACAAACAAAACTCTGCATTTTATTTTTTTCGCCCAAGGGTATAATGGTCATTTTACCATGGAATTAACACCGTCAAATGCCAAAAACGGACGGAAGGCTATAGAAGGAAGAAACTTTCGTTTAGGCGCCATACAGGTAAGTTCAAAAAAAAAAGGGGACATACAAGGAAGATGCATTATTTTCAGGGCCATAGGTAAAAAGCTCGAAAAAATAGTATCATCACATCAGTAAAAGCAGGCAGAATTAGCTTAGGAGAATGTGTAGTGGGGTGAATTTTATAGCAAAACTGAATAGAGGTGGCCAGTGATGTAAACGGATCTGATGCGGATGGATCCCTATGGATACGAATACATATAGCTACATTATTCTTCAGGTTCGAGTTCAGATACGGATAGTATCAGCTATGTCGGATAAGATATGAATGGGTATCAACATCATATATGATATATATCCAAATTTTAGTATCTGGATACGGACATACTCCCTCCTTCTATGAAAGAATGCAATTATGGGAATCGTGCTGGTCAAACGGATTTAAGTTTGACCAAATTTATAGTAAATAATATTAACATTTATGTCTCTAAATAAATTTATTACGAAAATATATTCTATAACTAATCTAATGGCATTTATTTTGTCACGTGAGTGTAAGTACTTTTTCATATAATTGTAGTCAAAGTTTCAATAGTTTGACTACTCGAAATGTGATAATTACATTCTTTTGTGGACCGAGGAGTAACATAAATGACCCTAATAATTCCTACACATGTATTCGGACAATCATAATGGAGGCAGTGCAAAGAAAGGACAGAGTTCGGCATACCCTGCAACTTGGTCTCCAAAGTACCATGGCCGCCATCTATCAAGATCTTGGTAGCCTATTGATTTCACCCATGCTTCAGTACCAGGGTAAGGAAATACACAGGTCATGGTCTCCGCTACAGCATGACACAGACAAAATATATCATATATACATTCTTTAATTCTAAGGAAATTGTTAGACATGTTTCTAATACATTGTTCAATGCAAATGAAGCGAATCATTAGATCAACTTAACGATTATGTTCTCTCTTTTAGGTATATGTTTTCAGCTTTCACCACTAGCCTTCTAGACAGCACAATAACAAGATCCACACAGATCGATAAAATAGTTAGTATCTCCAAAGCACGGTATGTATACTGAACCCAATGCAAATCTATGAGCTACATGGAACATTTTACAATACAAATAAAGTAGCATATAGGATCAAAATTCTAGTGCCAAAGGAAAGTTTACTATCCCAATTATTCTTAACGGTAATAGCACTAAAACTTCTATGGTGAGATTTATTACTTTATTGGGACTGAATTTCAGACGAAATTAAGTGGTCATACAATTTTACATTCACCTTCTTTTCCTTGAATTGAAACATATATTCAACCAATAAAACATGAAACTTTTGCTTTCTGTTTCCAATCCAAATGTGAAATAGGATCAACACATCTAGAGTATGCTCTAATTCGAACACAGTTGTGTACACTTGCTACAAAGTTCTAGAAACTACTCACATTTAACATTCCCAAATGATAGATTAACTGGTTTTATATGTACCTGTAAATTAGCACGCGATATCCCAAACCTGTAAGCTTCTTGTGATAGGTCAACATTATCCCAGTATCATGAATGAAGTCTATTCTTGCAGTATACAGTTCCCATGATCCAATTAATCTTTTCTGATTATGCACCATTTGATTGAATCTGTTTCCCACATAGACTAGAGGATTAGTGCGTCAAATGGGAATTTTTTTCTGCCACAATACATATCTTACTGGTTTGGCATGAATCGCAGCTCTAACATCTTCATCATCCAGCCATGTAGTAGCAAATTCATCACTCTACATGTAGTCATGTACATGGAAATGTCAAATAAAATGGAGTAAAAAGAAGGGGCAAGCACAGCTGTCCAAAGACGGATTAATAAGCAATATGATTCCAGAAAATTCAAAAGATACACGATCACCTATAAATTTTCAGCTAAAATGTGATAGTGACATCTTGAAATATATTGTGAACAAATTGGTAATTTAATTAGCGCAGCAGCTTGAAACAGAGCAGTGGTATAAATTAAATTTTGTGTTTTATATACATGCAAGAAGAGAAACATGATAACATCCTGACCAGTGAACTAGAGGGACATTGGCCTAATAGTTTACATACAGTGCAGGGAAGTGATCTACCACCAAGGCCTGGCCACATCGGAACGTGACCATCCTTGAGAGCAAGGCGGAGGGGCCAAGAACGCCCAGCCATTCGCTTCCTGACTGGAAATGGCCTATCTGTCTCTCCTAGCCTTCTAAAACTCTGCGGTAAGCTGCTGTTGCTGAACTCTATCTCTTGGATTTCAGGATGATGGTAACAGGGTGCAAGGATGTTGTACTTGTTCAGGTCTTTCAGTTCCTGCAAATACCCAAGATAGTTATTACAGAACCTACTAGTTAAACTGACCAGATGCTGTCGATTTATATATTCTGGGAAAGACACATTACCCAGCGCACTATGTCAATCTTCTCTTGGCACAGATTATCTACAGCGCCAAAGAATGTGCCACGGCAAGAAGCTTTGACATCCTGAAACAAATTATATCTGGTCGGTCGATAAATTTTGGTATGGGATCTGGTTTGAAATGAAACTATCCGTGACATTGGTAGCTCCGTCTGTAGCATGGATATGCTTGCCGACAGTTCTACAGTAAACAAGCTTGTTGAAATTATTATATTAGCATAAAAGTTGAACCACAGACCTCATACATGTCAGTTGAGATGAGGCCCATCCCACGCGCAAATGGCACAAAGGAATTGAAATCGTAGTCTACATCAGTTGCTGGATTGCCAATTAGATAGCCCTGAACAGATTTTGGAAGATTCTAACTATAAAACATTCATTAAAATTTTGCGTCTGCAATTCTGAATTACACAACAAAACATTAAAGAATGTGACTGAGGGAATACAGAACCTTGAAATTGATTCTTGGCTTCACACCTCTCTCAATGCCTGTCAAGACACATGAACATATATTATTAGGATAGATAGACATGGGATAATGCTAGTTTTCTGACCTGACCGGCCACCTTTTGATTAACAGTGTCAACCTTTAACAACTTCGTCAGTGATTGTGGGGATATAAACCCCTGCATATGACTCCCCTGAGATGTAGAACGGGTTAAACTGAAACTCGGGGTATAATTCGAACCACTGCAAGACCGAATCAGCATCATCATCAGGTTCCCCCGGCAAAGTGTATGACAGATGGCAAAGCTTTACTAAAGCGGAGTACCATCAACAGGAATTTGTGCGCATCAGCTGCGGTTTTCAGGTCACCTGTTATATAATCCGATTTGTTCAACGAGTAGGACATCCCAACACTGGCAGGAGAATCGAGATACATGATGTTGGAGACCTTTTCAATGACAAATTCAATTTATTATCACTTGGATTGTAGGCTGACCACAGAATCAACTGCCAAACAAAACCTTGGAAATTCTTTATTTACCATTATCTATGGGTAAAATGTGAATTGTTTGAACACATATTTTTGCCAGTGGCAGACAAGTGTAAAAAAAACACGTGGACAAAATAGTGTTTTTCTACTCACTGCGTTCCAAATTGTTGTTCACTTTGGTTTTATCCTAAGACAAATTTTTTCAACTTCGAGTAAATTTATAGAAATATACACAAACATCACAACATTAGATTTATTTCGTCAATTTGTCCTTGAAATATACTATAAAATATATTTATTGGCTTGTCAAAATTAGAGAGATTTGACTTAGAACAAAGTAAATGTGAACTATATATAATTTAGAATGGTAAGAGTAGTTTCTCTATAAAAAATGTGGTTTAGGATTACAGGTGCAACAAACCACGATAACCACTCGTTTATAAAAAAAAAAAAAAAGAACCCTAGCTTGATAGAAGGTGCAACCAACAACTCCTAGCTTGATAGACAGTGTCACCTCGCAGTATGGATTAGCATGAAGAAGCTCTCAAATGTAATGGATGTTTACCTTTGACCAGCTGTAGGGGTTGAGCTGCAGCTTGGGCAGGCTTCCAGGCGAGCTCCCAGGCTCGAAATTAAAGGGACCTGTTGATCAGATCAGCAGCTAGCTGCCTTTCAGAATGTAATCGATCGGCAGAACTGCAGAAGACACAGACGACGACAGTAGAGCAAGACTTGCCGACCGTTCCCGTAGACGAAGCCGTCGAAGCTGGAGCATCCCGGACCCCCGTTGAGCCAGATCACGACGGGGTCGGTGGCCGGGTCGCGCTCGGACAGCACCAGGTAGTAGAAGAGGCTCCGCTCGCTACTCTCGTCCACGGTCACGTACCTGCAGCCACCGGCCGCCGCACAGTACGGCGAGAGTAAGATTCATGAAGAAGAACCGTACCAGCACTCCAGCAGGCATATATAGGCTGCGAGCATCTGAAATGGATCCAAGAGAAAGAGAAGGCGGCATATGGAGATTACCCGGAGTAGTGCTTGGATGGGAGGCACCATGGAAGCCCGGGAGGCCGGTGACGAGGTGCTCCACGGGCGCCGCGAAGGCAGGCGGCCAGAGCCCAGAGGAGCGCCGCCACGACGAGGAGGAGGAAAGGGGAGGCCATGGAAGCCGAGCTCGGGCGCGTCGTCGTCCTCACTCGTCACTCGTCAGAAAAGGATTATCAATCAGTCAACGACAGCAACCGCGCGCCTCTCGTTCGTCGCTGATGGGCTGACGGCCCACCACCTACGGATTGTTGAGAGGGTGTGGGCCCCCACGTGTCCGGCAACCAAACCGGCTCGTGCGCTAGTTTTTTTTTTTTTATGGAAAGCAAAAGTTTTATCAAACACGTCCTTCGGGCAAGTCGCCCGGGCACCAACCAACACAGTTTTTTTTTTACCGCAAAAGACTCTAGGGAGATCCCCACAGTGAGAGATTTTAATATTTATTAAATGAAGAGCATACTTAGACAAAAATTAACTAAAAGCATAAAGCTAAATACAAAAGAATGACCTAAGATCATCCTTAAAACAAACAGACTGAAGATTACGTCTCTGGATCACGTCTCTGGAACACCTTATCATTGCGTATCTTCCATAATTCTCAGCTGCAATTAGCACCGCCTCCGTGAAGAAGGGGAGATTGTGAGTTGTCCCCGCCTATACCAACCTATCCAGGAGCTAGAGCAAATCATCCCACTGAAGATGTAGAGTTGCCCTGCATTCCTTCACGATGAGGCAAACGAAAAACAAATGTTCTATAGTTTCTTCTTCGCCACTGCTGCACATGACACATATGGCAGAATCCTGTATGTTCAAGTGTCAGCGCCGAAGCATTGATTTTGTGTTCAGCTGATCCACCAGTATAAGACATGCAAAAAAACTTGATTCGCGGCGTGCAACTTGACTTCCAAACGGCCTTGAAAATGGGGTGTGCATCCATGTTGCTGAAGACCTGGTGGTAGAAACGACGGGAGGTGTACCTATTGCCCCAGATAGGCACCCGGCTGTCTTGCCACAACAGCATCAACGACAACGTTATATAGACTCTAGAATAGAAAAAAAAATACAGATTCACTGTATTCAGAATATAACAAGGACTTAATATCTGTATTATTGGGGCAAGCACTGATCTAGACAATGCTACGCATATTCTACTTAGATATCTCAATTAATGAGTTAAAACTCACCCTTTATCCAACCTAACCCATAGCAAATTAACTCTTTTGGCCATCCTAACTCATCCAAAAAGTTTATAGAATGTTTGGTTTCAGGAAAAGTTAGTTCATCATCTTTTCACTTCTCACTTTTTTTGTCCGGTTTGTAGAATGGAACATGTTTATCAATCATCACCTCATTCCTCATAAACCAATACTTAATACTGGTATGAGAATGAAATTATTATACCAAATTTAAGGAATTAGCTCATGATGTACCACCTTATCAATTATAAAGTGATTTCTTAAACCAAACACACTATTATTATTTCAACCCAACTCAATTCAACCCACCAAGTAATAGAACCCACGAGCCTAGCTTGATTCATTTAGTTGAATTATTTTCACATAAAAAATAGTGAACGGCTCAAAAACGCTAGCGTGACATGGCCCATACGATGTTTGTGGGCATGATTTAAAAACCCTAGACTTTTTTTAACCCTGCTTGAGAAATGCTTAGATATACTTTGTGCCAGTCAGCGCGACAAGATCTATAAATGGCCCCAACATCAAACATCGAACCCTACCTTAAAATTTGGTGAAATTGATTGAAATTTGTTAGAAATGATTCAAAGTCACATTAAGCTACATTGTGCCAATTTTGCGCAACAAGATCAATATATGGGCACCACATCAAAAGTCGGATCCTAGAACTAAAAGTTTGCGTCCACACCTAAAAATTTTAGCGAAAATTGACTGAAATTGGTGGTAAATAATTTAATATCAAAAGCTATATTGAGCCAACTAGCATGTCTAGTTAAACATGTGGGTCACCCAACAAATTAATCTACTGGCTATTTCTAACAAATAGACATGTGTACCTATAAAATATATAGAAAATCTAACACCAACCTATGGGTTCAACACATTCAAACCTTGAAAGAAAGAACCCAATCCAACTCAATTTTCTATAAATACAACCCAACCTAACCTATCGAAAATATAAACCTATTTTCATCCGTCCAATACATACCCAATTGAGAACCCAATCCATTAAACTCATTTCCACTCAACCCCTTACCAGCCCTAATTCTACTTGTTTGGCACTCATCAGATGATTTGCTTGCTCGTGCAGCCACCACACTACAGTATGATCAACTATGATAAATCCCCACCTGCCTTTATTTGTTTATAGGATGAAATCTCCACCATAATTAATTTGAACTCCTTTGTCCTAAAAAAGTACAATTCTAGCATCATCATGAGTCAAATAATTTTTAGGAGCTCTAAAAGAACAATTCTAGCATCTACATATGCTCTACAAGTAGTCTATAGGCATTTAAATATTTCCTAAAAACTGTCTAAATCATTATGGAACTAGTCCACGTAGTCTACAGCAACAGCTACCGATACACTTACTGACCAATGACCACCTTTAAAAAATAAAAATATATTATTTTACTCCATCTTCTCTCTCCCTTGTCTCTTGCCAGTTGCCACAAACGATGTTGCTGCTCCCGCTGATCCTCTTCTGGCACTGCTAGCTCCATGCACGCCTTGGACGTTATCGCATTGGCCGTTCGTGTGGCCGGAGAGGCCGCCGCCCGGCCATCCACGCTGCTCGTGAGGTCGCTGCCTCGGCCATCTGCGCATCTCGTAAGGCTGTCGCTCCAACCATCTGCACTGCTCGCGAAGTTGATGCCCTGGCCATCCACGTGGCCTGCAAGGTCACCGCCATGGCCATCCGTTTGGCTCACCATCTGCATGCCGAGCTTGTGGGGGTGAGTCCGATTCGAGGCAGCAGTAGTCTGATCCGGACGGAGGAGAGGAAGCAGAGGCAGCGGGAGAAACAAGCAGAGGCAGTGACGTGGTGTGACGAGATTGCAGATGAGTCAGGGTGGAAAAGGCATGGACGGTTTGCTATCCGGCATGTTTTATTGTTAGTGGGTCCATGTGAGTAGCTATTTTGGTCCTACTATATTGTAGCAATAGAAATATTTATAGACCACTGACATCAAATCTATTCATATGGACTACTTGGTTCAAATACATTGTTGTTGTCCTTAGAGGCTTTATAAACAGCTTTTTGGTAATATTGTGGCTGCCCTAAAAAGGCAAGCAATGGTTCTGCCACGCCAGTCAGTGGCGGAGGCACAGGGTATGCCAGGTATTCACTGGCATACCCTGCAGCACCGGTGAATATACTATTATATATACGTATAAGCATTTGTATTTGTAAAAAAAAAGGAAAAAACTTACCTGGAATGGATCACGCCACCACGAACGTCCCACTTGAGGCGGCCCAAGCAGCAAAGAAGGCGCCGGTCACCCACGAATGGATCACGCCACGAAACGCAACACAGGCACATGCAGGCCCACACGGCCACACTAACCACACGACGGACGGAGCGAGTGGGCCTAAACTGCTCTTTCCTAATCTAATCTCGATCGGAGGCGACGGACTGCCGGAGCAAGGGGATGGTCACGGCGCCGCCGGACACCCTGACGCCTGAGACGCGGTGAGTACACCACACTTTCCCAGTTCCCTGGTCTAATCTCTTGTGCTATTTGCTAACATCACAATTAATAAATTATTTAATTATTTAGCATCATGTATTTTAATATTTGTGCAGTTATGAAAAGAAACACGGATATTGCATCTCTTTTTCAAAAGCATGCAGCGAAGAAGGTGGCAGCGGCAGTTGCTACATCTAATCGTTTCCCAGATCCCTGATCCAATTGAACATGTAGTGGAAGAGCAGACTCATGTAACGTCCCGACCCGGGAAGACGGCTAAGGCCCACTCTACACGTTAAATGAACTACACCTACTAATTAACTCTCTTGCGCTTTTCGTCCTCGCTTCGCACAAAAGGATCAATCCTAAGTTAACAACATCTCAGGTCCAGGCTTTTAAGCTGGTCTAGCGTTGGTTCATTTCCGGTATGGGACTAAACTGGAATACTGCGTTGATGCTACAGTACCCCCAAAAGCTACGACACCTCATCATTACAGTGTCACGAATTCGGTCCGGCCCAACTGGCCCAATGGGCTGGGTCTCACAACTCATGAGAAAGTAGTTGAGGAAATTGCTTCTAGCCGTGGCAACGGCAAGTGTTGAAAGGGTATTTTCTGCAATGGTTTTAGTGAAAACAAAGTCACGAAATAAGATGGGAGATAGTGTTTTGGATGATTGTCTAGTCATTTTCATTGAGTAGGATATTTTCTTTGAAGTTAATGAAGATAATATAATCAAGATATTTATATCCCTTCGAAAGCGTCGAATAAAACCCTCAGAAAAATAGCATTGTAAGTCTCAGATACTTATTATGCCTATATTTTAATTATCGATATGACTTTTGAACTATTTATATTGTATTTAGTGGATGGTTTCAACTTAATACATGAATTTAAGCCTTATTGTGTTACTTAGTGCATATATACCAAATTACGTTGTCAATTTTTAAATTATTACTGAATTGGTAAAATAGATTTATTGAATTGTATATGAAATTTTTTGGCCGGCATACCCTAAACTAAAATCCTAGATTCGCCACTGACGCCCGTCCCTCTAGTTTGGTGTGCAGGGATCGCCGTGTTGCCCTCTTTAGCGTGGCATGAACTCGCATAGTCAACACGTCTTGCCAGCGTGACAGATTTGCCACGCCAAAACATATGGTAGGGTAGGATGTTTTGTCATGCCATGCATACTAGCGTAGCAACAAATAATTAGATCTAAACAATTTTTTAGGGTTGGTTATTTCTAAAAAATATTATAGAAAGGTTAAAATAGAAATATCTGAGAGCTCATTAAAAAATATTTATAAATCATTGATTATCCCAAGTGACCAAAATGAGTAGGAAGCAAAATGTTTGCCTTTCTTCAATTGTTGTCAATACTCAAGGCATGTTTGGTTCATGATCATAACTTGCCACGCCACGCGTTAGTCATATCGTAGTTTTTTAGGT